TGATAGTACTCATGTAAAGCTTACAGCTTATCGGTTCTGTGCTGATATCGGCCGACCGGCTCAACACGTTGTACGTGTGAGTGCTGATAAGCTATGGCATATAAGCCATTAAGAAGGCGAGGGCAAGCGGGGTCTCGGTAGTGTAAGGGATAAGAGCACGGTCCCCGGAAAGGACAAGTACGGGTTCGAGTCCCGTCCGAGACTGGAGTTTTGCCCACAAATCGCCAACCTTGTGAGACTTTCGCTTCGCGCACTGCGGCGTTAAAACAGCAGTTAACAAAACATCAAGTCAAAACAAGTTTTCTTATAATTAGTAGAGCTCGCGATCGAAGTGTGCTATAAAGGAAAAGGTTCGAAATTCCAGTAGAAGGATACGGGAGTCACCGCGGAGTCACTGCCGCCTGCCGTGGGAATTCGCGGAGAAGTACCAGTAAGTGCGGCAACCCAACTGGCATATATAAAGAGGATTCTCAGATCACCCCAGCTCAAGTTTATATACAGACTTCGTCGGGCAGGTTTTACCTTGTTAGGAATTTTACAAAGCAGTTGTTCATGCTGGCTCCGGGTTTTCAATCGTCTTTTTTATAACCTCTTAAGCTCAGACGATACGCGCTAAAGGGAACTGAACGTTGAGGGATATTAGAGAGGTTTGTGGGACGTCGGTCTAGTGCTATAATTATTGGCATGCTTCGAAGCATTTTGAATGCGCTGTCACTCAATTCAAAACGCACTTATTTCTTCAAAAATCTATAAGTTGATTGTTTGTGAACTCCTTGTGAAATTTGGTTCACCAGCTGCTATGGTCGTGCGCATTTAAAGACGCTATTAAACTCATTCTCGATTGAAGACAATTTTCTCTATAAAAGTTGCCTCTCAAAAAAAGCATGTTGTTTCTTCGTGGTTTGGTTCTCTGCCGTGTCATCGCGATAATGCGCTACGTCAATAGGTTGGTGAACGTCAGTCGTCCTTCAACTGGCGCAGTCTCTCCTCACGACCTCGCCGTTCCCCGCTGTTGAGCTCGCAGCTAACTCGCGAACTTTTACTTCTTTATCGACGTCTAGTAGATACAAGGTTCTTTTTTATTTGTGCCTCAGAATAGCCGCTCTGACTCAATTCATTTTAAAGGGAAAACCGGCCTTTTATCAACGGAGGTAATGTTCCGGCTTACAGTTTCTGCCCCGCAAGCGATTCATCGGAGCATGCACTAATAAAGGTCGTTGCACCATCGCCTTCGCTTTGCACCGCAGATAATAGTTAACGGAAAATGTGCCCCATCCACGATCAAATAGGTGCGGCTGACAAGAGGTCCGCGCTAAGTGGAGCTATTAGTACAGAGCTAGTGGGACTTCACCCTCACTACACAGTTATCGTTGTTCATGTGAATATTTTTCTCACTGCGGAGAGCGCTACACTTCGGTCAACTTGATGTGTCTGCGACCTTATTTGAATAACTCATTAATGGTGCAGCTTGTAGTAATAAAACGCTCCACATATTGTAAAACACCGTCTGTTCATGCAAATATATTGGACCTCCTACCAGTACACCTGTACATGCGATGCGCATGAAATTTATCATTACTGATCTGCAATGAATAATTGTTGTTGATGCTTGGGAGAGTCCACTTTTTCAATTCAATTCCTTTTACCTTGTAGTTCGCTTTGCCCACCATCAAAATTTGACCATCCCTCATTCCACAGCCTCTGGGTTTTTTTGAAATTTCGAAAGGTTTGTGAACGTAAGTTGTGATTTTTCTCTAAAAGCACAGTTAATCTGTAGCAAGCCCGATATCGGAGCTTCGGCAAGTTCCAGGTTTCAGTTTCAGTTGTGACTAATTCCTGACCTCTGCTCATTTTTTTCAGTGTTTGTGCTGTTACGATATCAAATCAGGAAGTTTTGCTCATTGCATCGCCTACTCCAAAGCGTATCCTACATGTGGGGATCTCCGCTAAGCACACAAATGCTCTGTTGATCTTGCCCTAACTCTAACCCGCCACACACTTGACCTGACCTTTCCAGATGTGTCTTCAAGTATAACGAATTTCGTGATAGACAGACAGACGAACAGGCGTGAGCGCGTTATATATTGTAAGCGAAGGCCATCTATATGTGCAATCAATGGCAGCACATATCAAGATTGATCGATATCATTGATTGATCTCAATCCGGGAGGGTTTCCATCTGTTGCCCTCATTTCCCAAATGTTTGACCATTTGAGGCTGAAAGCGACACATTACGGTCATCCATGCGATGGAATCGCACACGGACCAGTATTAATTGAACGATCGGTATCGCTGCGACAGTGTTCTCTCCTCTAGATGGAGTACGTGTAACTTGGTCATGCCAAACCACTTGCCACTCCTTTCAGCGATGAGATTCGTATAACTCTTCTTCTCATGTCTGCGTACATTTTGTGGAAGGGCACAGAGATATACAGGAACACCGACGACCGACATACCATATTATTGGCTGGTCTGTAACGTGAAAGGATTGTATTTCTGGCCAAGGTGATATACAAGGCACCGCACGCATTGCACGTGGATTGGATTTCTTTGGTTAAGATGGCCGTACTTCAATGACTCGCCCCAGAGCTACC